AAAGGTGGAGTTACAGAGAGAGAGGGAGAGATCTTTCATCTGCTGGTTCACTCCCCAAATGGCTGCAGAGAGAGAAGGAGAGTCAGAGGAGTCCCATTGGGTGGCAGAGGCTCAAGCCCTTGGGCCATCCTCTGCTGCTTTCCTAGGTGCATTAGAAGGGAGCTGGATTGGCAGCAGAGCAGCCAGAACTCAGACTGGTGCTCATATGTGCTGCTGGTGGCTCAACTCGCTGCACCACAATGCTGGCCCCACACTTGACAAAAAGTTATCTGCAAGGTAGAGAAAGTGTGTAAGAGTTCTATTGTCTGTCTGCTGGTTCACTCCCCAAATGCCTGCAAGTACCCAGGTTTGCCAAGCTGACGACAGGAGCTAGATGCTCAATCCAGGTCGCCCGTGTGAACAGCGGGGAGCCAAGTCCTTGAGCCATCATCACTTGCTGTCTCCCAGGTTGTGTGCTAACAGGAAGCTGGAGTTGGGAGTGGAGCCAGGACATGAACCAGGCCCTCCAGTAGGGGATGTGGGTATTCCAAGCTGTCTTAACTGCTGTGCCACGCACGCCTTCCCGAGTGTTCTAGATTTTTAGAATGGGAACAGAAATGCCTAACCTGGAGGACTCTGGAGAGTTTGTTGTGGTATGGGATCAGCTGAATGCCTGCTTGATTCTCGAGTTGATTCACGATACACGGGCGCTATTGTTTGCGTCATAAAAGCAGTAGCAGTGGAGGCCCGTTAAGTGGCACACTAGCATGTTTAAACTGTTTATCTACCAAGAACCTCTGTGACACACAGCATCAGTAAACTGCTGTCATAGGTGCTGAAGTAGGGAACTTGACTTTGGCCTTCTGGACTACTTGAGAAGTTGAGAGATAACTGTATGAGTAGGTTCATTAAATTTTATGTTCAAGCTCTGAAGTGCTATTGGAATTTAGAGAAGGAGAAAAGTCATTTCATGGTGCTTACCTGCTTAATCAATCTTTGAGTTAGTGAGCGAGGGAATGGATGAGTGAATGAACAGTTAACCATCAGATACACTGCAGACTCCTGGAAGAGGTGGGGCGTGGCTGGGTCGGTGTAGTGGGTGCTGTTGCTTGTCTTTCATCTACAGAACACAGTCTGCTCGGGAGCGTGCATGGCAGCCTCTGAGGCAAATAAAAAATACTGGACTTTGACTACGTATAGATGAGCAGTCAAACCTTGAAAATCAGATGCCCTTCAAGGAAGCAGGTTTGGGCTCAGTCCAAGGAGGAATGGAGGGCTGGTGTTGGAAGGGAGGGGACAGTTGTGTATGTGTCAAGCAAGAGACCCTTGAATTTCCCTGAGGGATGGCAGAAAAATTCATGTATCGGGGCCAGAACTGTGTCATAGCAGGCAAAGCCACCATCTGTAGCACCAGCATTCCATATAGGAGCCAGTTCGAGTCCTGGCTGTTCCACTTCAAATCCAGCTCCCTGCTAATGTGCCTAGGAAAGCAGCAGAGGTTGGCCCAAGTGCTTGGACCCCTGCACTAACATGGGAGACCTAGAAGAAGCTGTTGGCTCTTGGCTTCATATTGGTCCAGCTCCGACTGTTGTGGTCATTTAGCGAGTGAACCAGTGGATGGAAGTTATGTGTCCCTCCTTCTCTCTCTAACTCTCCCTTTCAAATAAATAAATAAAAAAATTTTAAATTAATGTATCAGACTGAGCCAAAAAGAGACCTCATCTCTAAATCTTTCCATTTAAGAAAAATACCATTTCTGTGTTCCTGTTTGTGAACTTAATGAGTTGATGGGTTGATGGGGTTAATTCTTTTTTTTTTTTTTTTTTAAGATTTATTCTATTTATTTTGAAAGTGTTACAGAGAGAGGTAAAGAGAGAGAGAGGTCTTCCATCTGCTGGTTTACTCCCCAAATTGCCACAACGGCTGGAGCTGAGCCCATCCGAAGCCAGGAGCCAGGAGCTTCCTCTGGGTCTCCCATGGGTGCAGGGGCTCAAGGACTTGGGCCATCCTCTGCTGCTTTCTCAGGCACATTAGCAGGGAGCTGGATCGGAAGTGGAGCAGCCAGGACTTGAACTGGTGCCCATATAGGATTCTGTTGCTGCAGGCCCGGACTTTAACCTGCTGTGCCACCGTGCTGGACTGATGGGGTTAATTCTTAATTTTTCTCTTTTTCCTTCTCCATACTCTTCCCTTCATTGTTGCCACTTCAGCCTTACTGTTCTTCAGAGCTCTTGGAACGACCCTGTCATATGTGGTTGTTTCCCACTGAATTGTAGGCTCCTGCGAAGCAGACACCTTGTTCCCCACCTCTGTACATTAACTGGCGCTCAGTGACTATCTGGCGAGCCTTTACCTAAAACGAAATCATGTATGTACAGATAACTGTACGTTTCTTTCTAAAAACACAAATAGTATTTTTCCTTGTTTTTGAAAAAAATGCAGAAACATGTGGGGAAAAAAGGAGAATAAAAAATGGCAGAATTTATCCACAGCAGTATATACCCTGAGAAATCTGCTTAATTCAGTTCATCTCAAAGTTTGAGGCTCTTTGGCTCTGCCAAGCCAGTAAATAATGGAGATTTAATTCCATCTGGCTTTTGTTGATTGTTTTTTTTGTTTGTACTCATACAGAAGATGCTGGTAAGGCAGGATGGCTCCACAGGGATTACCTCTGAGAACACAGGGTCCCGAGCAGAACAATAGGCCACTCGCTATCTGGGGGCATCTCTCCCACCTCCTGTAATTGGCCGTATCATAATGAGGCTGCACGCTACCTCTAACACTGCCGGGGAAGGCACTTCATTAGGCTGGGCTTATGGAGATTAGATCATGCACAGGAAGCTGCCTGCTTGGTTATCAGGCTCCACAGAGGAGTCGGGAGGCTTAAGGAGGGGGAAAACGTAGGGTTGATTTAAAGAGACAGGGCTTGCGGGAAAAGCACGGACAATTTCCCAGGCTGGAAGGGCGCCTTGCTGGCCCGTAGCTTCCCTGAAGCAGCACTGACTCCAGCCTCGGAGCTGCTTCTGTAGATAAGGGCCTCTTGCAGTCTCCTGCTTTTCTTCTTTGCAGTAGGGTTGCTCATACCACGTCAGATTGTTAGTGTTAATGAGCCGACTCTTAGGTGTGGTACCAGACCTGGAAGGGTAAAAAACATTCTAGTGTAGTTCATGCAACTGATTCTAAAAATGTAATTGTTCCAGTTCCTCTTTTTTTTCCTTTTATCATCCTTGTCATTGTGCTATCAAACTTTAATTGATTTATCATAACAGAATCACACTTTGAAATCCTATTGTGTTTGGATTTTTAAATAACATTTTGTACTTCTTTAAATACTTTAAATTATCCTCCCTGAATTATTCCTGTAATTGGTTTGCTTGTTTTATTCTTTCTGTTACATTAGAGGCAATCTGAGGGATAATGTCTCTAATTCATTTTTATATTGCAGTATCTAGGACATTGGTCTGAGCCCAGTGAGTGTTCAGTAAAAGTTTGTTGAGTACCTTTGTGCCAGCCTTATTGCAAGGTTCAACTAAAATATTTAACACAATCTTTGTTCATCCAGGTCAGCACGCTCACCTGTTCAACCATGTAAAGCCAGTGCAGATCTAGCTGTGTATTGTAATGTCTTTGAAAGTGTATTGAATTGGAGCAAAGAGGGCATGCCTGTGTGGTGGTCCTACGAGTGGTGATTCTGGGGACAGGCATTTGGCACAGCAGTTAAGACACTGCCCAGGACGCCTGTATCCCATATTGGAGTGCCTGGATTCTGGTCCTGGCTCTGCTTCTAATTCTAGCTTCCTGCTAATGCACACCCTGTGGGGGCAGCACATGACGGCTGAGGTTCTTGGGTCCCTGCCACCCACATGGGAGACTTAGATTGAGTTCCTGGCTTTGGCTGCTTAGCTCTGGTTGGTGTGGGCATTTGGGGAATAAGGCAGTGTTTGGGAGATCCCTATCTATCTCTTTCTGCCTTTCAAATGAATTGAATACATAAATTTAAAAATTTTTAGGGGTTGGCATTATGGTGTAGCAGATAACGCTGCCAGCTATGACACTGCCATCCCATATGAGTGCTGGTTTGAGTCCTGGCTGCTCTACTTCTGATCCAGCTCCTTGCTAATGGCTTTGGAAAAGTAGTGGAGGATGGCTCAAGTCCCTGGGACCCTGCCACCTGTATAGGAGACCTGGAAGAAGTTCCTAGCCCAGTGGGGCTGGTGCGGTGATGCACTAGGTTAATCCTCTGCCTGCAGCGCCGGCATCCCATATGGGTGCCAGGTTCTAGTTCCGGTTGCTCCTCTTCCAGGCCAGCTCTCTGCTGTGGCCCAGGAGGGCAGTGGAAGATGGCCCAAGTGCTTGGGCCCTGCACCCGCATGGAGACCAGGAAGAAGCACCTGGTTCCTGGCTTCGGATAGGCATAGCTCTGGCCGTTGCAGCCATTTGGGGGGTAAACCAACGGAAGGAAGACCTCTCTCTCTCTCTCTCTCTCTCTCACTGTCTGTAACTCTACCTGTCAAATAAATAAATAAAAAAAAGTTCCTAGCCCCTGGCTTCAGCTTGGCCGAGCCTCAGCCATTGCGGCCATCTGGGGAATGAACCAGTGGATGAGAGATGTCCCTCTCTCTCTCTCTGTCTATCCCTCTCTCTCTGTATCTCTAGCTTTTTAATGGATCAATAAATAAATGTAAAAATATTTGTTGAATAAGGAAAAAAGAGTGATGAATCTAGAATTAGCTACGTTGGGTGTTTTATTTCATTTTCAAATCTAGTTTTAAATTTTTCTCTTTGATGCTAATTGTTAGTTCCTATCACAGGGCCTTTAGCCATGGGACAATTAGTGTAAAGCTGAATAATAAACAGATTAGGAGACTCAGTGGTAGACAAAAGTAGCAAAGAAGGAGATCAGAAAATGGGTTTCTTTGCTCATCTAATTGGCGGTTCTTTTGGTTGCACACTTGCAAGGGTGCTGTGGTCTTTGTCTCTGGGTTCCCGCCCATCTGCCAGTCTCAGATGGTTTCATGGCCATGCCTGAGCACAACCTTAGCGCTAAAGTTGTGCGTCTTAGGGTGAGAGAGCTGGCTGAGGATGACGCTGAGCCCTGCCAGGTGTCTGGTGTTTAGTTCCCGTTGTCGGCCTTGCAGTGCAGGCCTTTCTCACTGTGTCCTCTCTCCTAGGTGTACGTGGTCGGGAATGAACCTCTGACCGTGCTGCTGGATGCCCTGCTTCCGGTCCTGGGAGTGCTTTTTTCTCTCTACTGTTTCACAAAGCAGAGTGTGTCTCACATAAGGTGAACAATGAAGAGAAACTGCTTGACTCAGAAGTAGCCTCTTCCTTGTTTATGGTGCTACTGTTATTTCCTTTCAATGTCAGGAAGACATCGGGCCCCTCTTGCTCTGCTCATCTAGAAAAGAGAGACTTCTGCTGATGCGGTCTCTGTGTCCCTGGGTAAACCTGGCCCCGTTTGATCAGAGAGAAGCACTGCGGATACATGTCTAGGAAGGAGAAAGCAGGGTGGGTCCTAGGGCCTCGTGGGATAAGAAAGTGTGTTCCAGAGATCCAGATGTGAAGGTGGCACTTTGTAAGTTAGCCTGGGCTTTGGTGGTAGTGAGGCAGAGGGTTGTTTACATAGATGGGATTTCTTAGGCATCCATAAGATGCTCTTTTGTGTTAGAATTTCAGTAGGACTCACTTTGCACCAGCTAGATTTTCCTAGTCATTTTTGTTGTTTCTTCCACCTGGTAAATTCCTACAGAATTCTGAGTTTTGATGTTTGGAAGTAGTCCCGTGTCACCTGATGTGTAGTGTGGAAATAGTACCTTCATCACTAGACCATGCACTAGACATGCATTCCAGTGTTTAGCTCTGCCCTGGCAAGCAGCAAGCACAGTAAGTGGGGGCTGTCCTTGTCACCATGGCTCATGGTGAGGAGGACGCCCAGATTGGTGCAATATTCAAGGCTTCCCTTGCAGAGCACTGCTCATTCAGTGTGTTGTTGCAGCTGCGGTGACAGTGACAGATAAGAGAGAGTGTAGCAGGGGCTGTCCGTGGAGTGACTTCTGGGTCCTACCAGCGCTGTGAGATCCTCATCAGATACCAGCAGGACTGATGCAGACACTGATTCTCTGCTTAGATACAAGGGGATGAGGAATTAGAAGTATTTTGTTGGTGTTCTGTTTCTTAGTCCTGCTGGTGGTAGATGGTTCCCTTGAGTATAAGCTTTCTTATGCAGTAGCTGATCCAAAGGCAGTGGTACATTTGGAATTACTTAAAAAAAAAAAATACACATGGGGCTCATGTGGCATATCAGGGTTGCTTCTAGAGCCAAGTGCTTCCTGAATGTTAGGGTATTCGCGTTCTGAAATTCACAGGAAGTGTGCGTCCCACTCCTGCGTCCCAGTAGCACTAGGTGATGGTGCCAGCATTTAGAACGCAGCGGGACCTGACAGCCTTTCTTTCTTTGTTCATGCTGGTTTGTTCCATGCACAGGGTAACATGACAAGCTCATTCATAGCTGCTTTTCCTGCCAGGTCACTTTGCCAAGAGATCTTATTATGGATTCTGGGGAAGCTGGAGAGGAAGAAGGCGGTTGCCAGCCTGAAAGGCTTTGCAGGCCTGGACAGAGCTGCACCCTCGCTCCACTCTCTGTGTCAGTTCAGAGCTGCCGCGCAAGGTGGCATCAAGATTGCCATCAGGGAGGCCCCTAGGTGAGTCCGGATTTTGTTCTACCTAAAAGGCCTTTCTCAGCCACTAAGGGGCGCTGAGAGAAAAGAAACTAGCAGCTCAAGGGCCTGAAGTGTGTGCTATTTATAGTCTCTAAACGAAATGTGAGCCTTAAATAATCCTCCAAGTTTTTCTCCCCTCCAAGATCAGGCTAATAGTCGGCGCAGTTGACCGGGGCCTCGCAGTTCTGTGTGACAACAGACTCGCTCCCTTCACTGAGCTGCTGCCGGCGCATCACAGCGAAGGGTGGCGCGTGTTCACCCCCAGCGGCACAGAAATCCCACCCTCTCTCTGACTCCCAGTGATCCGTGTGTGTGTTTACCAGCATACGTATTCCTAAGGGACATTGTCCCACGACTGTCTTTTTACTTTTTGTTCTAAAGCTGTTTTATTTGATAGAGTAAAGAGGGAGAAGGAGAGACAAAGAAAGATCTTCCCTCTTATGGCTCATTCCCCACATGGCTGCAACAGCTAGGGCTGGGCCCGGCTGAAGCCAGGAGCCTGGAGCTCCATCCAGGTCTCCTCTGTGGGAGGTGGGAACTGACAGCCTCGAGCCCTCAGCTGCTGTCTGCCAGGGTGTGCATCAGCAGGAAGTCAGATTGCCGGTAATGCAGCCAGGACAAGAGCCTACGCTCCAAGATGGCACGCAGCTTGTGCTGCCGGGCCACACACCCACCCTGATGACAGGCTTTTGTGGTAGTTGGATGAGGGAGCTTTGTTTCTCGTAGGGACTGGTTAGAAATGCTTGGTACATATTAGTAGATTGTGCCGTTTATTTCTCCAACATCTTACATGTGTGTGTATTTTAAATTCTCTCCACTTTCTGGGTGATCTGTGTAGGATGTTATTATCTCACAGTGTAAGTTTCTGTTCATCAGAATCCGTGTAGTACTTAACTGGTGGCGGCCACCCTGTGTAGATTTCATATCATATTCAAAATGCTGCTGTTTGTTGAAGTATTTCAGTTCAATTTTCTATTCCTGGTAACCTTGGTAAAGTTTTAGAATACTCTCTCAATATGATGGGCTTGAAGAAAATTGAAAAATACATAGATTATACACAGAATTATCAGTGCAAGCTCAAGCTACTAATTTACTTAAAATTATCAAGCATTAGTAAGTTGTAGTTGTAACTATGTGTATAGACAAAAAGTTTAAATTTTTTAAATATTCATTTAAAACAGTTTTTATTTGGGACTAATTTAGGGGCAGTATAGAGATTTTCCTTAGGCATTGTAATGCATTGAAATGTTCACAAGGCTCTCGTGTACTTAGTGCACATGTGTGAGCATTGATAATTCTTGGGGTGAGCATTTGGCACAACAGTTAAGACCTTGCTTGGGACACCCACATCCCCACATCAGAGTGCCTGGGGTTGAGTTCCACCTCCACTTCCTATCCAGCTTCCTGCTAATGTACGCCTTGGGAGGCAGCAAATGATGGCTCACGTACTTGGATCCCTGCCATCCACGTGCGAGACCTGGAAGGAGTTCCTAGCTCCTGGCTTCAGCTTGGCCCAGCCCTGGCTGTTGCAGGCATTTGGGAAGTGAACCAGAGGTTGGAAGATCTCTCTCTGTCTATCTCTGTCTTTGTGCCTTTCAAATAAAGTGAAAATAAGTAGATAAAAACTTTTTTAAATGGCGTTGCGGGCCTTCTATGATCTGGCCTCACCTTGCAGCCTTTTCTTTCTCCACTGTCTACAAATTATACTTTAATTCCTCTTTGCTTTTGCAACTTCAGAAATCATTGATAGGCCAGCATCTGGTACAGTGGTTGAGACCCCGCGTCCCATGGTGGGGGGCCTGGGCTTGAGTCCTGGCTTTGCTTCTGCTTCCAGCTCCCCGCTAATGTGCACCCGGGAGGCAGAGGTGATGACTCAAGTACTTGGGTCCCTCTGGCCCACTAGGGAGACCCAGATTGAGCTTCAACCTAGCCCAGCTCCTGTTGCAGGCCTCTGGGAGAGGAGTGAACTAGCAAAAGGGGAGATCTCTGTCTCTGTCTTTCCCTGGCTTTCAAATAAACAAAAATTTTTTTTAAATAAAAAAAAATTGTTTAAGATACAATAGCGGGGCTGGTGCTGTGGCGCAGCAGGAAAAGATGCTGCCTGCAGTGCTGGCATCCCATGTGGGTGCTGGTGCGAGACCCGGCTGCTCCACTTCTGATCCAGCTCCCTGCTGTGGCCTGGGAAAGCAGTAGAAGATGGTCCAAGTCCTTGGGCCCCTGCACCCTCATGGGAGACCCAGAAGAAGCTCCTGGCTCCTGGCTTTGGATCGGCGCAGCTCCGGCCATTGCAGCCATATGGGGAGCGAACCCGAGGATGGAAGACCTCTCTCTCTCTCTCTGGCTCTACATCTCTCTGTAACTCTGTCTTTTAAATAAATTAAATAAATATTTTTTAAAAAAAGATACAGGCCAGCGCCGTGGCTCACTAGGCTAACCTCCACCTTGCAGCAGTGGCACACCGGGTTCTAGTCCCGGTCAGGGCACCGGATTCTGTCCCGGTTGCCCCTCTTCCAGGCCTGCTCTCTGCTGTGGCCAGGGAGTGCAGTGGAGGATGGCCCAAGTGCTTGGGCCCTGCACCCCATGGGAGACCAGGAGAAGCACCTGGCTCCTGCCATCGGATCAGCGCAGTGCGCCGGCTGCAGCGCACCAGCCGCGGCGGCCATTGGAGGGTGAACCAACAGCAAAGGAAGACCTTTCTCTCTGTCTCTCTCTCTCTCACTGTCCACTCTGCCTGTCAAAAAAAAAAAAAAAAAAAAAAAAAAGATACAATAGGAATCCTTTAAGAGTGATTTTTAACATGTGAAGCTACTTCCTTCACGAATCTTTTCCTATTTGAGCAAATGACCATACAGGATGTAACAGCCCAGATTCCGAGAATAAATATTTGCCTTTTTTCTAGCTTGGAGGAATAGGAAATAAGTTACACACATTTTTGGAGATCTTTCTAATGCTTAACTGGAACGTGAAGTAGCTTGTTCCTTTTGAAGATTATTATGAGGTTTCAAGAAAAATATGGTCTGTGGTGCTGTTGCCAAGATGACTCTCACCCTGCTTTGCAGTGAGGAAGATGATGATGAAGCCCTGTTCCAGAAGGTGTCCTCCGAGCAGGGCCAGGTGGAGCATCTCGGGGACCTGCTGTCCCACTGCCAGGAGAGTGGATTGGCGGGGGACTTCTTCATCTTCTGTCTGAAGGTGAGAACTGCACAGAGTTCGTGGGCAGCTTTGCTGCGGGCTGGTTCCAGCCAGACCCTGTGGGCTTTCCAGGTATGGAGAATTCAGCCTCCTGAAATTCAGGTCCTGGTTTAGGGAAAATGATCAGAGGCAGAAAGGCAATTTCTTTTTTTACCTTTGGCTTGGTAAAAAGAAGAGGCTTCAGTAGAATGCTGTGCTCTGACTCCTTTCCCAGGTAGTCGGCACTGGCATTTTAGAGATGAACAAAGCAGAATTATTGATGTACGAAAGGGTTAATCTTTGTTCAGTGTTGACACTAAGAACTCGTTTGAAGTTAATAGCAGGTTTTACAGCTATAGAGTAATCCCCTATCCTTTCTGCCTGTTGTTCTGTCAGGTATTTGGAAAGGGGATTTAGCAGTTTTGTCTCCCTCGCTTCACCTTGTAGCTACCTGAAAGCTTTTCCCAGTGGCCGTGCTTCCTTTTGCCGTCATCTCTGGTAGCAGCTCGTACCTGTAAGGTCATCACTGCCCGATAGCATCAGCCCGAGACCACTCGTACCTGTAAGGTCATCACTGCCCGATAGCATCAGCCCGAGACCACTCGGACCTGTAAGGTCATCACTGCCCCATATCATCAGCCCAAGAACACTCGTACCTGTAAGGTCATCACTGCCCCATATCAATCAGCCTGAGACCACTTGTACCTGTAAGGTCATCAGTGCCCGATATCATCAGCCCGAGACCGATAGCTCTGCCTTCTCCTTTCCCCTTAGTAAAGTATCTGAGAGTCAGTTGCAGAGTTCAAGGTTGACGTGGAGGTGTGACATGTAAGGAGGAAACCAGGGCTAACATCCCTGTGTCTTAAAGTCAGGGGACGTGTTTTTGATGCTTTCTTGCCTTCTGTGGTCACATTCATCCCCATGCCGAGCCTCCCATTCCAAACAGCATTCCAAAGAAATGTGCATTTAGTTGTACACCTTAAAAAAATGTTGTTTAGGGGCCAGTGCTGTGATGTAGCAGGTAAAGCCACAGCCTGCTGTACTGGCATCCCATATGGATGCTGGTTGAAGTCCTGGCTGCTCTACTTCCGATCCAGCTCTCTGCTATGGCCTGGGAAAGCAGTAGAATATGGCCCAAGTGCTTGGGCCCCTGCACGCACGTGGGAGACATGGGAGAAGCTCCTGGCTCCTGGCTTTGGTTCGGTGCAGCTCTGTCCTCTGAGGCTAATTGGGGAGTGAACCAGCAGATGGAAGACTTCTCTATCTCCCTCTCCTTCTCTCCGTGTGTAACTCTGCCTTTCAAATAAATAATAAATCTTTTAAATTTTAAAAGTTTAAAAAAGTTGTTTAAAAAACAAATAAATCAAAGTGCTTTGCTCTAAACCAGGGTCTCTGCTTTGGTGCTATTGGCATTTTTTTTTTTTTTTTTGAAAGAGTTACAGAGAGAGGTAGAGCAGGAGAGAGAAAGCGAGAGGTCTTCCATTCAGCTGGTTCACTCCGCAGATGACTGCAACAGCCAGAGCTGAGCTGATCCGAAGCCAGGAGTCAGGAGCTTCTAGTTCTCCCACGTGGGTGCAGGGGCCCAAGGACTTGGGCCATCTTCTACTGCTTTTCCAGGCCATAGCAGAGAGCTGGATCGGAAGAGGAGCAGCTGGATCTTGAACTGGTGCCCATATGGGAAGCCAGCGCTGCAGGCTGGGGCTTTAACCCACTGCACCTCAGCACTGGCCCTGGTGCTACTGACATTTTAAGCCAAATGGCTGTCCTGTTTGCTGTAGGGCATTCAGCAGCATCCTCGACCTCTGCCCACTAAATGCGTGTATTACCCCCAATTATGACAGCCAAAAATGTCCCCAGACATTGTGCAATACCCCCTGGTAGCACAATTGCTCAGACACAGCTGAGCACCCGTGCTCCAGGCTGCCTGTCACTTGGGTAAAGCCTGAATTGGTTGAGAACTTAAGGTTTTGTCTTCCCAAGGAAATTTTCAGCGTTGATGCGCAGGTGAAAAACCAGCGAGACCCACAATAAGAGGTTGTCTCTTGGTAGAAGCTCAGTTCTGAGTGTCGTTTCAGCAAAGGGCCGTGGTGCTGGAGCTGTCTGCTGGTCTGTAACAGGAGCCAGAGGTGTTACATGGCAAGGAGGGAGTAGAGATGGTGAAATACTGATGAGAGAAATAGGCTGCTGAGCTGGTTCTTTGCGCGCACGCATGCGTGTGTGTGTGTGTGTGTGTGAAGATTTCATAGACATAGTATTGTACATAGTATCGCACATCTTACTTTTTTCACTTAACACTTCGAGATACCTATCTTTGCAGATAGCCATACAGAGCTAGTTCGTTTGTTTGAACTGTTGTGATAGAATAAGTCTTGCACAATTTATTTGCTCTCTTATTCCTAGACATTTTAGGTTGTCTCCAACGTTCGGCAATTTTAAATAATGCTGTCACATAGACTGCTTGTTTAAATATGTATTTCAGCTTACGGGCTATGTTGGTGAAGCCCTTGGTCTCACTGGGTTTTCTGCACTTTTTCTTCTCTCTTGTGCTTGTAGGAGCTGACCCACGTGGCGGTGGAAAGTGAAGCAGAGTTCAAAGCCAGGACCTTCTGCGGCCAGAGCCTCTTGGAATTAGAGCGACACCGGACTCTCCTTGTGGAAGGCCAGGAGCGGAGGCTGCTGGTCCTGCAGCTGGTGGCTGTTCTGTGTGAGAGGATGTCCGAACAGATATTCACCAACATCACGCAGGTCGGTGGCTGCCACGCTCTGGAAGCAGCCTGGTGGTGCTTGCCTATTTTGGTTTCTTTACATTCCTTCCAAAATGGTGTTCAGAAATGTTGCTCTGAGTGTGATTTGGTGACACCTGCCGGGATGCTGGTTAAACAGGCAAGTTCCTGAGTCCACACTCGGCCGGCTGAAGCAGAGACTTCCCTGGGTCCCGGAATCCGCATGCTGAACGTGCTGCCGAGGTGACTGGCGTGCGCAGGCAACTTGGGGAACTGCTTTACATTTTTATGTCGTGTTGTTATGTCCTGTGGTTTTCAACTTTAGGGCACAGGTGAAAGCCTCAGGTATCGTTTCCAAAATATTAACACTCAACCTACTCTACTCTTAGAGATTCTGTTGTAGTATGTCTGTATGACAGCCTGGCATCTTTTTAAATGTTGTTTTCTTTGTTTATTTATTTCCATTAAGTTGAAAAACAGAGTGACAGAGACAGAGAGAAAGAGAAATCTGGTGCGGGGGGAGGGTGGGTATGGTAGGAGGAATCACTGTTTTCCTTTAGATGTACTCATGAAGTTTACATTCATTAAACACAAGGTTAAAAAGAGAGAGAAATCCGTCTTCCATCTGCTGATTCACTCCACAAATGCCTGCAGTAGCCAGGGCGGGGCCAGGCCAAAGTCAGGAGCCAGACACTCCCTCCTGGTCTCCCATGTGGGTGGCAGGGGTGCAAGGGCTTGAGGCATCATCTCCTGCCTCCCGGGCACGTGAGCAGGAAGCTGGTTTGGAAGCAGAGTAGTTGGGACTGGCATTCTGATATAGGATACACTTTTCATAATGACAGCTTAACTTGCTGTGCCACAGTACCTGTCCCATTCTTCTTTTTTTTTTTTTTTTTTTTAGTTCTGTTGATGATTCTAATGTATATCAAAGGTTGAAAATGATTAAAACCTCAAATTTGCAAAAAAAAAAAAAGAAAAAAGCCAACTTGAATTTTGTGGCTTCTTGACCTCAGCTTATCTCCACAAGATCCTGTAAACTTTAAAGTTATTTTTAAAAGATGCTTTCAGAGTAGTGTAACCGTGCAAATCAGAGCCCGAATTTTACTGATGCAGACATTGTTTTTACCACCTTTTAAAAATATAGGAAACACGGCCGGCGCCGCGGCTCACTAGGCTAATCCTCCGCCTTGCTGCACCGGCACACCGGGTTCTAGTCCCGGTCGGGGCGCCGGATTCTGTCCCGGTTGCCCCTCTTCCAGGCCAGCTCTCTGCTGTGGCCAGGGAGTGCAGTGGAGGATGGCCCAAGTCCTTGGGCCCTGCACCCCATGGGAGACCAGGATAAGTACCTGGCTCCTGCCATCAGATCAGCGTGGTGCGCCGGCTGCAGCGCGCCGGCCGCGGCGGCCATTGGAGGGTGAACCAACGGCAAAAGGAAGACCTTTCTCTCTGTCTCTCTCTCTCACTGTCCACTCTGCCTGTCAAAAAAAAAAAAAAATATATATATATAGATAGATAGATAGATAGATAGATAGGAAACAAAGGCGGGCATTTGGCTCAGCGATTTAGATGCCTGCATCCCATATTGGGGTACCGTAGTTCAACTCCCCACTCTGCTTTTAATCCAGCTTCCCGCTAATGCAGGCCCTGGGAGACAGTGCTGATGGCTCAAATAATTGGATCCCTGTCACCCACAGGCGAGACCTAGATTGGGTTCTAGGCTCCTGGCTTTGGCCTGACCCAGCCCCGGCTGTTGCAGGCATTTGAAGAATGAATCAGTGGTGGAAGCTCTCTTTTTCTCTCACTTGTTCTCTCTTTCTGTCTGTTGCCCTTTCAAAAAAAAAAAAAAAAATCAAAATAAATAAATTAAAGAAAAAAGTAGGAAACAAACAGTAGGAAAGCACAGTTGCCCTGTTTGCCACTTTACAGACGTCTGCTGCCTGGGTGGCGGCATGGCGGCGTAGGACGGCTGAGTGCTGCACTTAGCTCCGATCCCCCGGCTCCTGGTGCCGTCATCCTGCCGCCTGCCTTTGGCGTTGCTAAGCAGCATTTCGCTGTCACTCCTGCTGAGAACACGTGCAGCTGCCTGTCAGCTCTGACTTATCACGTCTGTCTAGTGAGAATTACGTCCATGATCTCTTTCCTGGCCTCTTACTCCTTCAGTTGCCTGACCCCATGTCACTCAGGGGGGCGATGTGCTGCTCCTCCATTTACTTTTGTTCCCTGAAGACTTCTTCATGCAGACCTTACGTTTCTGTCTCAGGATGCTAACTGGAAGGGGGAATGGTCTAGAAACTGATACGACTTGAGTCTGTGCACTTATCTGCCTTCGCTGCTAATTAAGGAATAATGGTATTAAGCGGGTACAAAAATGATTTGTCCCATTAAGTCATCCTTCAGCTGAGATGAAAACCTGTCAGGACAGCAAGAATCTGAAGGAAATATTGGCGTGGTGTTTGGTGATCTTGCTGCTAGTGAAAATATTAGTATGTTGTTTTGAAACACACACACATGCACACACACACAGATAAAGAAGATAAGTCACATACATGCAATTTTTTAATATTACTGAGAATCAAGATTTTCGGCATAAGAAAAAGGTATAAAAATCCAGGAATTTGGATATAAACCTTATTAAATTAAATTTCAATATAAAGTATTAGTGTGAACCCATATTTAGTTTTCTCTTTTTTTAAAAATAGATACTTGTTAGCTCAGTCCACTGTCCATGCCAAGAAGCAGTGGCAGCTCCATAGCAGTGAAGCATGTGAGCGCCAGATTACAGTTTTCAAATAACACTTTCCACAGGAAGAGCACAAGCTCTCCAGATACAGGCTGAGGCAGGGTCTTGGTGAGGAATCATACGTGGCAAGCCTCAAGGCAGCAGTTCCGGGATGCCAGGAAGCTGTCTGGGGTGAGTGGGGCCATGTCAGTGGCACTCAGGAGCCTACCTGCAGGGGCCCCCATTGGCCGTAGATAGGACAAGAGTATCAAAAAGAGTAATTCCTGCAATGTTTTGAAACATGCCCACGATACAAAACAAGGGGCCAGCACTGTGGCACACCAGGTTAAGCTGCAGTCTGCAGTGCTGGAATCCCATATAGACACCAGTTCAAGTCCCGGCAGCTCCATTTCCAATCCAGCTCTCTGCTAATGCTCCTGGGAAAACAGCAAAGGATGGCCCAAGTGGTTGGGCCCCTGTACCTGCATGGGAGACCCGGATGAAGCTCCTGGCTCCTGACTTCAGCCTGGCCCAGCCCTGGTGGTTGCATCCATTTGGGGAGTGAACTAGCAGATAGAAGATTTCTCTCCTCTCTCTCGCTGTAACTCTCACTTTCAAATAAATAAACCTTTAAATAACAAACAAAAAACTAGTAGGACATCTTTAAAGATTACTAGAGCACAGCTCATTATTTTGTAAGTTGATAAAGAGAAATAATGAAGCATTTGTCCTTCCTGCCTTTTTTTTCTTAAGATTTATTTATCCATTCGAAAGACAAAATGAGAGAGAGAGAAGGAGAGAGAGAGAGTGATCTTCCAGCCATTGATTTACTTCCCAAATGGCTGCAACAGCTAAGGGTGGACCAGGCCAAAGCCAGGAGCCAGGAACTGCATCCTGATCTTCTACTATGGAGTTAGCGGGGACTCAAGTACTTGAGCCAACATCTGCTGCTTCCCAGGTGTGTTGGCAGGAAGCTGGATTGGAAGCAGAGTAGCCCAGACTCGAACTGGCAGCCTGGTATGGGATCTGGGCATCCCAAATGGCAACTTAACCTGCTGTGTCACAGTGTCCCCCTTGTGCAGTCTTTCCTTTAGGAACTACATTTCAGTGTAACCAAATAGTTAATGAAGGAAAATTTTTGTTAATAGGAGAATCATAGCCAAAGCTTTCAAACAGAAGACTAGAAAATTAGGTTCTGCATCCCCTGAAGTAATAGATGAGCAGTGCCGTTGAAAGGGTGCTTTATAGTAAGTGTGTTAGGCCCGAAATACCAGACCAACTGATTGATCCTTTCTCCCACCTCAAATTTTTTTTTTTTTTTTTTTTTTTTTTTTTTGACAGGCAGAGTGGACAGTGAGAGAGAGAGACAGAGAGAGAAAGGTCTTCCTTTGCCGTTGGTTCACCCTCCAATGGCCGCCGCTGCAGCCGGCGCACCGCGCTGATCCTGGCAGGAGCCAGGAGCCAGGTGCTTTTCCTGGTCTCCCATGGGGTGCAGGGCCCAAGCACCTGGGCCATCCTCCACTGCACTCCCTGGCCATAGCAGAGAGCTGGCCTGGAAGAGGGGCAACCGGGACAGAATCCGGCGCCCCAACCGGGACTAGAACCCGGTGTGCCGGCGCCGCAAGGTGGAGGATTAGCCTATTGAGCCACGGCGCCGGCTCCACCTCAAATTTTTTATATTTATTATTATTTGAAAGACAGAGGCAGAGACAGAGACAGAGAGAGAGATCTTCAATCACTTTGCAAATGCTCACAATGGTTGGAGCTGAGCTAATCCAAAGCCAGGAGCTGGATCTTTTTCTGAGTCTCCCATGCGGGTGCAGAGACCCAAGGACCTGGGCCATCTTCCACTGCTTCCTCAGGCCCTGGCAGAGAGCTGGATTGGAAGTAGAGCAGCCAAGACTTGAACTGGTGCCCATATGGGATGCCAGCGCTGCAGGTTACCTGCTATACCACAGCACCAGCCCCAGCCCTCCAAATTTTATTATGACAAATATCAAATCTGGAAGAATTTTGTAGAATACCTCTATGCCCAGTAGCTAAACATTGCCATTGATGTTTTGTTATACTAGGTTTATTACATAGTTATCCATGGTACCTTTCTTCTATCCATCTTTTTTTTAAAAAAAAAGATTTATTTATTTATTTGAAAGGCACAATTAGAGAATGGGGGAGAGAGAGAGAGAGAGAGAGAGAGAGAGATAGATCTTCCTTCCACTGCTCACTCACTGAATGGCTGCAACTGCTGGGGCTGGATCAGGCTGAAGCCAGGAGCCAGGAACTTTATCTGGGCCTCCCATGTG